CGTCCCGCAGGAATCGCTGCCGCTCTACTGGGGCACGTTTGGGACATTCCCCTCCCTCGAACGCTCATCCTGGGCTCACCGGGGAGGTTGGGAAAGCCGGCGGCAGCCCCAGGTCAGAGAAGGGCGCGTTTCCTTGGACCGTATCAGTCATCTGTTCACCAAAACTAAAGACCAATGCCATTTTTCAGCAGTTAGAGGAGCAGACTGCCTTATCTTTGAATCTCAGAGCCCATCAGCTGAGTAACGAGCTGGTGCTCTGCGAGCCACAGCCATCACCATCGCTCGGCAGCCCCGAATGGCAGCACCACGGCTCCAGGCCGGTTGCGCTGACAGACCCCAGCCAGACGTGACGCTCCGCGCCCGCTCCCCTGAGCTCGCTCCCCCTTTGCCGTTCGCTTTCCAGCTCCGAGCGTTCCCATCGCCTCCGCTGTCACGGCTGAAGGATGCAGCTTCGGGGCGGGGAGGCAGCACCGCACAGCGCAGCACCTGGGGTCCCTTTAACTGTCTGAGCGTTTATTGAAATGTTAAAAAAAAATTCAATGAGCTTTTCAGCACAAAAGGCTCGTTTCTTACACTAAAAGCCAGTTTCCTGAGCTGTCTCTGTGCTGCCTGCTGCTTAGGTACAGCTCAGCAGCAAATAAAGGAACCAAGCGAGGCAGACGCACAGCTGCTGGAGCGCGGTCAAAGGGAACGGTCCGAACAGAAATTTGTTTTGTACCAAAATAACCAAACCAGGAGCAGAAGAACTCGGGCTCACAACAAACACCAGCGGTTTTTTCTCTCACCCCCTCCGTTTTCCCAGGTGAGGTGATTTGCAAAAGCTCCTCTGAGCTCCGAGACCGAGCGCAGCCCTTCGACATACGGGCAGGGCCCAACGGGCCTCCTGCTCCCCACGGCAGCGCCGCCGGGGCCTGGCCCACGAGGGAGGGGGCTTGGGGCAGCGCTGCGGGACGGGGTCCCCCTGCCCAGAGGGGGCCGATCCTGGCACGGTGTGGGGCTGGGGAGTCCAGCTCTGCAGCCCTGCTCCCAGGAGACAGCTACAGCCAGGTCTGGCCCCGGTTCGGGGCGGCGCAGGCACACGCTCGGCGAGCAGATAAATGGTACTCGGAAAAATCTCTCTCTATATTTTTTAATAAATGACTGGGTCGAAATTCCACAACAGGCGATTGCTCAAGAGCAGAGCTGTAACGAGGCTCCCGCTCGTCAGCTCCAGGCAGCACAGGGAACAACTTCTGGTTCAGCCTCTCTTGAAATCACGACTCTGCCCCAGCAGCGGTGGGAAAGCGGTGCCGTCTAGGCCAGCCGCCGCGCAAACCTCCCTCCTTCCTTCCCAAACCCCGGCGGCATCGCTCCCGCCGAGCTGCTGGGAGGCGCAGCGGATGATGGCTCACCTCATCTGGGAAGCAAGGGGAGGTGGCTGGAGCCCTGCCTGGCGGTAGGTGAGGAGTGGGAGAGCAACCTGAAGAGCGTTTTCAAGGATTCGGTAGCGGCGTGAGAAAGGAGCCGGCGGTGCCGCGTGACACACGCTCGGCGATCCGAGGAGCTTCCTGCGCGAGCGACAAGTTACATTTTACTGCACGTAATCGTATTCATTTCTGTCGAACCGTGAGGAGCGTTTCCAGCAGCCACGATGTGCGTGTAACTCAGTCGCTTCCCCCACGAAAGAGCAGCAGAGCCGGAGCTATCGACGGACTCGCACACGCTGACGTGGGGCTGGAGGTTTTCCACACGCAGGCTGCTGCCCGAAGGCAGTCCTCAGGCGACGGGGTTAAGCCCTCGGTGGAGCGGCAGCCTCGCTCACGGAAGGATCATCTGTCACGCCCGTGACAACGGGGACTCTGTCGGGGAAGAACCAGCATCCACCCGCTTGCTGTAGGCGCCTCACGATGGGAAACCGGTTCTTGGAAAAGACCCTACGCCTGTTTTGTAACTACGCATGTACCGTCACACGAGGCAGCACCACAGGTCTCCTCGCCCCCCAGATAAGCAGGATGTAGGATTTAGCACTTCTACAGCACTTTAGATACTCCAGCACTTGGCAGACTCACTTATCCTTCTTCAGGCGTACCCTTATTGGGAAACATGAAGATAATTTTCTTTTTTGTACCTTAAAAATCAGGGAGGGAGAAGATATTTGAGCTGAAAGAGCGAGCCCAGATCAGAGGGAGGAATGGAATTCAGTGTTTCTTTCCACCCAGGTCTCTGTGCCCCAACCTTCCCTCGTGGAAAGGGACGGCTCACCAGGGACACTGGCACGGCAACACTGGAAAGGTCCCCGAGCAAGGCCGACACCAAACCGTACAGCGGATGCACGCAGTCCATCAGAACACACCTAACTCTACATGATACAAAAATACTTTGCAAAGAATAAACATTCACTCAGCAAAACTGTTATCAAACTCCTATCTTCAGCACAGTGACTAATAATACAGCTGCAGAGCAATGATTAGATTAAAAGAACTATTTTAAACACCAGCTTCAAAGTAATGGTAAATACTCATTTTGCAAAACAGCACATTTCACTCCGAGGGATATCCCCACGTAAAACCAGACGGCGTGATTGAGCTGTCAGCTCCCACACATTCACGTATGCAGATTCTCACGGTGTCTGCTGCCAGGACAGGGCGACTCCCAGCCCAAAGCCTTCCACCCCCCGCGGGGACGCCGCGTGGCAGGGCTGGCCGCGGGCCGGATGGCTCGGCCACCGGTTCTGCTGCTGGGGCCGTGCAGGAGCCCGGCGGGGGCACGACGCGCAGCGCAGCGTCGTCCTCGTTCTTGGCATCCATCAGAACGGAGGACTTCCCGTCAGCGAAAAGCAGGATTTCCCCCAGCCTGCATGGATGAGCCAACCCATGTTCTCACTGGGTACCCCAAAAACGCACGCTCTTAAAAACCCCCGACCCCAAACCAGGGCTCATTTCTGACTTTGCTATTACTAACTTGCACGTGGGAGTGACTGCAAAGAAAGTGAACAGAGCGGGAAGAAAAATGAAAGTGTGGTGGGGCCACACGCTCTTTGAGACTCAGGGGAAAACCTTTCAGGAGGAATTGACAGTCCCTCCCAGAGACGCGCTCGCCTTGTTTGGGTGATCGACCAGCGGGAGACCAGCTGGGAAAGTCTCCTCCTGTGTACGCTGACAACACAGCTGACCAAGCAGGGAAACCGGCAGCAGGGCGTAAAAACCTTTAAAGCATACATTATAAAACCAAATGCATCTTAAAAAATAAAAACATCTTAAATGGCTCTTAATTTTCACAAAAATAAAGTTCATCTAAGAATCGGTCTCTGCTCCTGGTGTTTCACACCGTGCCACTCACCGCAGCCGCTAGGCCCAGCGCTACAGAACACGGAATTATTTGTCACATTTAGAAAGGTGTCATCTCCCTGTGACATTGAAAACCCGGCATAGAAAAATACCCAAGAAATTTCTTTACGCTAATTAAAAAAACAACCAACCAAACAAGCCTCCCCCCCCCGATCTAAAGCAAAGCCTTCGACCTCGGAGCAGCCGTCCCTTCATTTGAGCACCACCCTGTGCTCTCCTCGCGCTATGTGCGAGGAAAATTCGTATCGGTCGTGGCTTCTGTACCCGCAGACGTTGCACTCGAAGGGATCGCGGAACCCGTGGCAGCCCATGTGGATGGTGAACATCACATAATCCAAAAAGAGGACACGGCAATGGTCGCACCGGTAGACCCCGATGGCTTCCCCTTCCTTGTTGATGACCTTAAAGGCATCGCGCGGGCACACGGCGGGTGGTTTGATTATGTCGTACGGCCTGGGGAAATCCTTCAAGGACTGGAGGCCGTTGCGGGCCTGAGCGGGGATCATCTGGCTCTGGTGGAAGGTGGGATTCTGCCGCTCCTCGTGGTTGCTGTCAGTGTCTGTGGAGTCTTGGCCGCTGTTGTTCGGGGAAAGGCCTCTGTCGGAGGACAGGCTTTTGTCCCTGAGGTGGGCATGGCTCTTCTCCGCGTCCTGCGAGGTGCCGTTGGGCATGTCAGTGCGGGTCAGCGGTATGGGGTACAGGCTGCTGATGACCGGGACCATTTCGGAGGTGGGAGCCGGTGGCGTCTGCACGAGAGGGCGCAAGGCTTCAGCCCCAAGGTAGGTGATGGCGTTGTTGATGGCCTGGTCCATCATGCGTCCTTGCATTATGTCGCTTTCCTTTTCGTACATGAAACTCGAGTTATAATTCACATCAAAACTGTGTCGTTTCTCACCTGCAAGAGAGGAGAGACATTAAATTACTCGGGTGGGTGAAGAAGTGTTTACACTCCGTGATGCCTTTTCTAAATGGCAGCAGTCTCTGGAAAGCAGAGAGGCACAAAATGTTCTCTGCGGAAAAAGGCCGCTCATACACACAAGTAGTTTTTGGGTCTTGTTATTTTTTTTTAGAGCTCAGGCTTGGAGGCAAAAAAATCTAATAGAGGAGGTGGTGAGGACGCTTAGTGGACAAACCATCACTGAATTTTTTAAATTATTCTGGATTTAAGGGGAAGAATATTATTAAAGCTTTCACAGATTAACTCCTCTCATCTTTTCTCCATCCAGAAGAATGCAAATAATCATTAATGAAAATACTTGTAAAAGAGCTAATGGATAATGAACAGAAATACTTCATTTTCAGGACAAGACTGCAACCTTTTGCTCTTGGCTGGTCCCTCGAGAAGCGTGCTCCCCTCTAACAGAAAAAGTGAAGACAAATGCTGCTGGCTGAGATTTGAGGCACTTCTCGTTACTTTCACCCAGCTGACGGTCTTGTACACGTCCTTGCACACCGAAGTCAATCTTTCCCACTGTCCTCTGACAACTACAGCTTCCTCTGCACCGCGCCCGGTTTCTGGGGACTCCACACAGGTTTTCAGACAATCTAACGCGGGCAGCGATGGGCGTATGTAGAGAGCAACACATTCAGGGTGACTTGACATGGGGCTAGTGAAGGAAGAGCGAAACGTGTTCCTCTCTGGGTGTGCGAGGGCTTCGAGAGCTCTCAGATAGGCAGAATGGGAGGAGAGCCGAGCGAGCGTCTACCTGAAATTCCGCTCACGCCGCTTCTAGGCGAGGAGGGTGGGCTGGGCAGCGCACTGCAACTGGCCTTCTCCGTGCCTGGTGCAGGGAGGAAATAGAACCACACCCCAAAAGGCCTGAAGTCACTTTTTTTGGTGAATGTCTAGAAATAAGTAACCGAATTCTGCGGTTACACAAAACATAAAATCGTTCATCGCTTTAAAAAAAAAAAAAAAACGGACCAGACCAAATGTTTCATGTGCCAGCGATGTGCAAACATCAGATCCACTAATCTTTGAGTTACAGTAACTCAAATCGTGCAGATGTTTATCAGTCACCTGTCAACACCGTGACTCAATGTGTATGAAACTCGTTAGGTTTCACTGCAGAGGCAGAAAACCAGGAGCTCACGTTTCTCTTACAAAAGACTCAAAAAGGTTAGCGAACCACAAGAGTGTAACTGCTTCCAGCCCTCAACAAAACTCACTATCCAGCTCTACACAGAAGGAAATAAAACGATACAGCACCTTCGTACGACTCATAAAACCAGCTCCAGGCAAGCAAAAGGTGTGAACACACTTGAAATTAAAAAAAAAAAGAAAAAAAAAGGCAACAAAAGCAAAATTAGACAGGACTCCCTAGAAATGTTGGGGTAGGATTCACTGCCGTAAGGCCAGGAACAAAACCCGCACCGTACGGTCGCTGAAGTTCTCACATGATTCTGTTATTCCACGGTGCTGGTGGCTTTCTAGAGTCCCCAGAGAGCCTGTTCTGTCTCCCCAAAATCCCCAGCTATACCCAATGAAACACAAGGACCCAAATGTTCTTCTGAGGTACATCAACGCGTCACGTTGCTTTCAAAAGGCCACGGCACATCAGCTGTGGGCTCCTTACAGCGAGGGCAAGAAACCCGGCTGTAAACCAGACCGTGACATTTCTAAGATACTTTGGGAGAAAAAGGCCTCACGTAAGGACGGCTTCTCGACCACTCGCCCCCCTCACTGTCTCAGCAGACACCCCCAGGCAAGCACAGGGCTGCTCGCGATACCTCGGGAAGGTGCCTAGATTTAGGTAGGCTGAATCCGCACCCAAGTGCCACAGAAAGCGCTGATCGCCCGTCCAGAGCGTCAAGCGATGGCACCGTATCGCAGTCGGATGCGGGGGGGGCCGCTCTTGATGGTTTGTTTTGTTTCCCCTCAGTCAAATACAGCAAATCTTTCCATGGAAGGGGACAAAAAGCGTCACTCAAAACCGACAGCAATCAGTCGGGAGGCAGCTGGTGTCGATGACATAGAAAAAGGGAAAGGAGCCCAGGGGCACGGGGGTAAGCTGGCCTGTGCCGAAAGAGGTTGGTGTTTTATCTGGGTGGCCAGCAGGACAACACGATGGATTGTTCTGAGCTGAGCTGCTATCTGCACCACAAGGGCACTGAAAAACACCACACCAGAACTCAAACGCACAGGTTCTCTAGTTTTCACTTCCAAAGCAGCCGCTGGTTAACTTTCCTCTTTTTTTTTCTTTTTCTGGTTTGTTTGTCTCAGAGCAATGCAAAAGCTTTCCCCTTCAGAACCCCCACGAGCCCCAGCGTGTGACACACGCTCACGTGCTGCTCAGCGATGCTTCACTTACCCTAAAACGTCTGTAGCTCTTTGCAGCCTGAGGAGGTGCAGACCCTGGCAACAGGGAGTGACCCGGCTTCCTGCCGCCCGCTAACCAAGCCGGCAACTTCTCATGCGCGCCGGGGGACACGGGTGCTGTCACCGTGTCACAACTGCACTCGCACTTTTACCACTGTGAGAAACATATTTTTACTCCCGGTCTCAGGGAGAACTTGTTTTTAAAAAGGAAGAAATAGAAAAGCCCGTGGGCCAAGCCGCTCGGCTTGGTGTAACCGGGCAGAGGCACGGACTGCACTGGCTACTTGCACCGGCGTCAAGTGAAGGTACGGCCCCACGAGTGTTTCACGCAGCACTGGAGTGCCACCAGCACAGGTACCTGTTCTGCTGGGCTGCTTTTGTTTGGGGTTTTTTGGTGTTTGTTTGGGTTGGGTTTTTTTTTAAATATCTGTTGATCGATCAAAGCAGGAAGTACGAAAAGCCCGGGTTTGTAGACTTGGTCTATATAGAGACAAAATAGAAATCCACAGCAAGACAGGAAACACAAAATCATAAACTTCCATTCAAATCCTTGTTCCCTGGTAATTAAAGGAAAAGCTGAGGACAAAATCTTTGCAGCAGAAGCCTTTGATGGGGGCCCTAGTGCAGAGGTTAGGAGTCAAGTACATGGTCTGCTGATCTGTGTCCTTATTTGAGGCTTACACTTGTGCACACGGGGTAGCTACTGAAGATGAAAATGCGAAAAAATAAAGTGGGCAAGACTCCTGGTGCTTGTATGAATCTCGTATGAATCTCTGTAGAGCCCTCAAATAATAATAAAGGGTTTTTTTTTTTCTGATCAATAGCCTTCATTCACAGAAATGAGCCAAACAAAGATGCCTTGTTAGTACACATCTCCATCCCTTCTTCCTGACAAAATGAAAAATCAGCACCCGTTCCGAGAACGCCGTTTCCCAAGAAATCACAAAGCTGTCCTGGCAGATTCGCACTCCTACACACACAGTTCAGAAAGCCACAAAAGTCAAACCAAGGTCGCACAGACTACTCTTGCAAACAGACTTCCCAGGGATAAAAGGGACCAAGTGAGTAATTCTTTCACACATTACCTAACAAGAACATGCCAATCACATAGGTTCTAGAAAAACAGTGAGTTTCGGAAATCGGTTATTTTGTTCCTTTAGGTGACCTGCCCTGGGTCCTCCAGCTTCTCCACTAAACCCCTTGCGTGATGTGGTATCAGTTCATGCCATCTGCAGAGCACGTTGCTGAGCACGATCACAAACCAGAAAAGGATCTGTTCCACACGGTAACAAGCGCGCTGGTAAAACAAGTCAGATAAACACTAGTGCTTGACCTCACGCGCGTGCTGAGCGGCTGCGTCACGCCGCGGATACGGTTAATGAAATACACGAAGATGGAATTGGTAGCAATTGTAAAACAGGACAGGGTGAGGCTGATCTCAGCGCTAACAAGAAGGAAGCTAAAGATTTTCAAAAACATTTGCATTAGTATTACTGTTGGAACCACAGCGTGACATGTGAGGTCTAAATCACACAGTCAACAGTTTCAGTATGAAGTACCCGAAGGCACCCCGATGGAGCGTGCTGCTGCTGCTTCACCCCGGGATGAAAAGGTGACCTCCTTACAGCCACGCTAAGACGTCTAAATAAAAGTTGCCAGGTTTCATAGATGAAAGTCCAGGGCCACCCTCCAAACCCAGTGAGAGCTGCGTTACCTTCAGAAATGAAGTTGCTTTCCTGGACGTACGGATTCAGCCGCGCGCCTTTACCCAGGGCTGGACCTCAGCCCCGGGCGCTCAAGCCCCGTCCTCAGAGCATCCCTCTGCCGGGTGGGTCTGTCAGAGACGCTGCTCCCTGCCCGCACGCTCAGCCCCATGCCCTCCCCTCCCCAGTCGTGTCGGGGGGCACCAGCCACCGCACAGGCCCCTACTCTGAAGGCAAAGTTTACACGAAGGGAAAGAAGCGCTCGGTGCCTTGCACAGCCCTGGAGACTACAAGGAGCGAGGCATCACTAGTGCTAACGTCACACGGCTGCTAAGTCGGGTCTTTACTCAGGACACAAGAGCTGCATCTCATTTTCTTAAAAGGCAAGTTAATGAAACGGGACCGGCCGAGAGGATCAGGCGTTTGCTGAAACACAGAACCTGCCAGGCTACTATTTAAGATCCCCGGCGTGCAAAACTGCGATCACATAAAATTCAATGCAAAGAAAATGCTTCGGAAACATCTTGCTGCTTCAATTACCACAAGAAAGGATTAGATATTTTTTAGTCACATCCAAATTCAGCGGGACGACTAACAGAAATCCAGCACTTTTCTGTCTTTAGGCCTTATTCCACACAGGCATCCTGCAAGTTTCTTCAGCTCCTGCTGACTAGAAAGAGCACTCAGCTCTCAGCAGCATTAAGCCTTCCTGTTCTTTGCCCGTGAAGAACCTAGCAGGGAACATTTCAAATGCACAGGTACAGAAAACAACACATGGAAGCTCATAAAACATATTTGTAAATTGCCTACACAAACAGACACAAAGCCAATGGTAGCTTCCATCCAGCTTAAGTATCTAACAGAACATATTCTTTTTATTTTAATCAAAACCCTACAACAAATCACTAAAACCACATCAGAATAATCAAAGTTACTTTGCTTATACTCTCTTGTATTAGATCATAAACTCGAGAAAGATATTTAAAATAAGCAGAGGCATATACATTACCAACTTGCACATATTTAACTGTTGCACACAAAAAGGTTTTTTGTTCTTACCAATAAATTTCTGAGGCATTGAGCTTTTTCGCTTTGCCACGTTGCTCGCTAGCCTGTCCAGCACAAGGGCTCTTTCACTCCCCATCTCTGCCTTGATGTGCCTTGCCTCCACGCTTGCTAGTTTGGAAAACGTGAAAAGAAAGAAAAAAACAAAACAAAACAAAAAACAACACGTAGGTGAAAAGGAAAAAAAAAAAAAATCAAGAAAAAAGGAAGAGATGAATGGTTTAATCTCCGGAGGTTGCCACACTAACTGGGAGGAAACAATTTGGAGAGCTGATGTAAACTTGGTTTGGCTTTTTCTGCCGTTCTTGCTCTTTGCGTCTCGGGCACCAGTTGCGGTCAGTGGAACCAAGCACAGCCACAGACACTAGTCGTGCAGTCCCGAGCTCAGGCGAGGAGAGCACGAGCCATACAAACCCTGCAGCTTCATTAGCGAGAGGAAGTGTAAAATAAACCGGCTGGAAGGGTTGGTTACAAAATGTAGATGGAGACAAAACCCTGTCAGCCTTTCTTTTTTATTCTGAGTAAGACTGGGTGACACCTGCAGACTGACACGGTGCTTCAGACTTTGGTATAAGACGCTCAGCCCTCTTGCTGCGCTTTTTTAGGTATCACTCATACGCAGACACCTCCTTCACTCCTCACTGAGAAACTTGTATGAAATACACCAACGTTCCATTGAAGTCAAAATAATATAACCCTGCAATATGCACTTCTAACTCATTTTTTTCCAGGTGTCATTATCACTTTTTTTATTTTTCCCCCTAAATGCTACAGCTAAAATGAATTAAGAATGTTTTCTCTCCAGCACACTTGTGAGCTTTAGCATTAGGTGTTTTACAGGTCGTTACAACCTCCAGAACGTCTCATCTCAGGAAAAGTCCCCGTGCCCTACGACCACTCCCTTGAGACTGGACCCCTGACTGTGTTAAGGATCTCACCATTTTCCAGAGCTCTCCTGTGGCCGTGCTAACCAGTGCCCATCGCTTCACGGAAATGACTGCTCGCTCTCACCTCCCAGAGGCTGCGCAGGCTTTCGAGCTGGATCAGCCAGGCTCAAGGGCTGCCACCTCATATCGCTACCGCCAGACTAATACCGAGCGTAACCGCTGCGGCTTCCCCCCCAGGAGCTTGCCGTCGCCTGCAGACCACGCGTCGGTGGTGGCGCTTTTAGGTTAAAACGCAGCACCGAGAGGTTCAGCATCAGGGACCCCTGTGGCGAGAACTAGATGCATTTTAGGAGACCGCCCATGCCTTTAAGAGTTGGGATCTAAGCAGAGGAAAAGGAAGACAAGGAAGGGTAATTTTCTTCCCTGAGTTAATACAAAAGGCCAGATCTCACCATGAAAGGATCCTGGCTGCTGTGCTACTGTACCACTGCGCTAGCATACCTAAATACAGGAAGCATAACCTATGTAAAAGAGAAGCAATGCCAGAGGAAAATGATACAGCCCTTCGGCATCACTTCGGTCCTGCTAAATGCAGTTTTGCTGGGCTTAAATTGCAGTTTGCCAAGTACAGCAAGTGATAAAAGCGCAGCGTCACCCTTCCACAGCTCAGTGCGCGGCGTTTCCCTATAAACTTCAGAGTCAGTCACCCCTCACTTGTTTATTATTGCTGTTATTGATATCATATGAGTTTCAGGCAGCACAAACCATGACTCACCAAACCTCAGCCAGAACTATTTGTTAATGTTTGTTCAGCGTCTTGAAAATGTAAAGTGCTTCTTAAGTACTCGATGCCATAAATACTGCTACGAATATGACTCAGGACGGCTGGGATAACAGGGCTCAGCTCTGCACTGCCTCAGTCCTGTTTCATCAGGCTGTACCCCCGTGACACACACGGCCATGCATGCACAGTGCCTTAAAGGTAATAACACACTGCTTTTCCAGTCTGATTTTCATTCCAGATTACTCTACGATGCTTAGAGACTTACATAAATATATTCATCAGCTGCTAAAATGCACCTGCTTCCAGCACAAAATACCAAGACGCTACGTAACAGTTCACCTCAAGTGAGACAAAATATCAGATGAAGCTGAAACTAGAAGGGCAAGGCAGGCAGGCAGAACACAACCATCCGTTTGGATTTTGGCCAGAAACTCAAGTTAATTCTTGAGAATAATGTTACGGGATTTTTAATTTCAGAACTTCTCTTTAATGCTCATGCTCCAAAAACTGCGCTGTGCTGTCTGAGCTCTTTGTACTATCTTTAGGTAACTGCCGTCCAGTGTTTGAACTATCCCCAACCCAGAAGGCTTGTAATCTTGACCGGATCATTGCACAAGCCATTATTAATAACAGTAATTTAAATTTGAAAAAACCCAACAACCCACAACTACCCTGAACAAGATAATAATACAAACAGTGCTGCATATGCAAAAATTTACCTAAAGCAAAAAAAAAGAAAAAGAAAGAAAACACAATTAATCCGTGTCATAAGAGCAGCTCCCTGGTCCTACCATTTCTTCATTTGCCTTATTTTGTTCTTCCAGTTCCTCTTTTTCTCAGTCTTTACCTCCACGAGCTGTACTCACGTTCTACTAAAACTTTAATTTCACATTTTCAGAATCTTTTTCTCTATCTTCTGACAGAACTCAGAGTGAAGTTTCTCTGACTCCTCTCAGCCATCCCTGGGAGCACACGGGAAGCTGCGTGGAGCACATCAGGGACTACTTGTCTTGTCAACGTTATTTATGTGCCGCCAAGGGAGCTTGATTAAATTAGTGTCAAGAGGGCAGACGAGCAGCTTCCTGCAGAGGTAACAATAGTCGTTCCTCAGACGAGACTGCTGAAGAGACAGTAACCATTGACCTACATAACATGTTCTGGGGCATCTCTAAGTATCAATCTTCCAGCTTGACGCCTGCATGCCATTTTATTTTAGCGCTGAGGATCTTTTCTTTCACATTAAGATCTTCCACTCCTTACTAATGGCCGTTTTTTCCCAAAGAAATAAAAAAAATCTCTGTTGATGGGCCACAAAAGGTCTTTGACAATGTCTTCACAATACAGCCTCAGGGAAACTGCTCCCACTGAGGCAGAGGCGGTTACACTGGTTCTCTCCCACAACACTGCTCTCTCTACCCAAAAGCTATTAAAATTATCTCATCCACCTCTTCCTTCTGGATCACTTATTAAACAATCCTAGAATAATACTTAATATTTAGGAAACATTTTTTTTTAGTCACTCAAAATTCTCTAAAGACTTTTCAAACAGAGAGGAATAATCATGCCCTGTCTCCCTCTTCAATTACTTTCCCCACTGGATGATCCCACTGCACACTGTGGTACTAGTTTAAAGAACTAATTATCTACCTATAACACAGACCTAAAAATAAATTTCAGGCTGGACTGACAGAAATGGTCAAGTGCTTTTGCTCAAAGTCACACTGAGAAATAACAAACAGTTATAAAGAAAATCCAGACTTCCAAAGCACTTAACCTATTTCAGCCTGTGATCTTGAAATGCCCTGCAAGCCAAATGCTTCTGAGGGGTCACGGCCAGAAAACACCAAAAACTCTAAGGGTGCTGAAAGAAACTCTGCAGATCAAACAAATCACCCTCTTCCCTCTTGCTCAGACCTGATCAGTGCTCTCGCACGCGCCTCTGGAAAGCCAACACCCAGCCATGGCATTCTGCACAGTAGCAGGACGGGGTTTAGCTCCCATGTCCCGACCGCTCT